AGCATCATAAAATTAACATTTCTCAAAAAAAAAAATTTTAATTTACAATAATAGATTTAATACAATTTGATCAATTTCTTTAATTGTAAAATATCAATTTTACTCCCCCAATAATATTTTAAATTTTAATCCTCAAATTTTAAATTCATTCAAATAGGCCCCTAATGTCACGTTTAAAATTTTCTATTTCATCTCTCAACCTTTTTAGATTTAGCAATTAAATTATTATAATTTTCATTTTTTTCATTGAAGTTTTCTTTTAGCACAAACTACAAGGTCATAAAAAATGAAAAATACATGTTTGTATATCATTATGAAAACTATATAAAAATTTTAAAAAAATTTGTGTAAAAATTCATGTCATCATTATATGTTTCATATACTTTATTTTATTAACACTATTGCTACAAACATCATAAATGAACTTTATGTTATGAAGAGAAAAAAAAGAAAAAAAAACTAAACCACTAAAATTAAATTAAATGAAATGATAATATCTTAATAAAATAATTTTACATAACTTTAATAATAGATTCCAAAATATTGTCTCAAAACATTAAACTAAAAATCAAAGCAAATGATCATAAATCATCATCATCTGTATCTTTTGGTATAGGCCCCCTTTCTTCTTTTTTGAAAATAAGATCATCCTCATAGTCAATTTCATCTTCTACATTTTCATCTTCTATCAGCTGGTCAAAAATTATTGGCCCTTGTTCAACATCAACATTTTCTATTCTAATCGATTCAAAACCACATCATTATCACACACCAAGACATCTTGTTGTGTATGCTCGGTCTCCTCATTTTCATGATACGACTCAATTACATCTTCATCAGGAGGAAAACCATAAAAATCATGAGGTTTTGTCTTGATCACAATATGCCAATTTAAATCTTTTGTATTTGGCACATAATATACCTGTTTAACTTGAGTAACCAATATAAAAAGTTCATTAGTTTGAAATTTATGTGTAATATTTACTAATATAAACACATATTGGTCTTCTTTACGTCCTTTTTTCCTTCTTTTATTAAATACATCCCACCAATCACATTTAAAAAGAACCACACTATGTCCTGAATAATCTAGTTCAATAATTTCACTTAATACCCCATAATAATCAATGCCTCCATCTCCTTTTACATATACTCCACTATTTTGTGTTTTCAACTTCATATCATGCTTTTTAGTGCAAAATTTCCAACCGTTAATAAGGTAACTTGTATATTTGATCCTTCTTTTGTCAGGTCCCCAAACTAAGAGTTCAAGTTCTTCATTATATGTCATAATCCCTTCATCTTTCAAACGTAAAATCTAAATTAAAAGAAAACAAAAATAAG